CATTATGTGGTGCTGTATCCCAGAGAGCTAGAAATCATGGGTACAGGAACCAGGGTGTGGAAGTAGCAATAACCCTTTCACCATCAGTCAGTGACCCACTTGGGAAATTTGTGCTTCTTGTCCCTATAAATTTAGGCTCTGCAGGATTAGATGCCCTAGTTCCTGGGGTGGGAAATGCACCTGCCAGGGGTCACAGTAAGGGTATCACTAAACCCCAGGATACAGCAGCCATGGGGTCATTTTGGGCCATTCATGCCAATTGACCGGTTGGCAGATATTTGATCTTGATTATCCCCCGTCCAGTGGTAACTGTGGCCGGGCAGTTGCAGCAATGTTTGCCTGTCAAGGGCATGGTAATGAAAGCTTGAGGCCATCAGGGCTGAAGGTCTGGGTTTTTCTATTGTGAAAGCCCCAGAGACCAACAGAATGAATCGTAGAGGAGGGAGATGTTGAACATTGATTACAGCCTTGGAACCAACTGCAGCAACGGTTACTGTAGTTTGTCCCACTAGCCCTCCTGTTGTAAGACTTTCTTTTTAAAGAATTAGAAATTGTTATCAGCCACGACCTTGAAGAATCAGCGACAGGACAAAGTGAACTTAACTGGGGGGCACAAACAGATCTGAGCGGTGCAAAGGGTGGATTGCAGCTGTGACCCACATCCTTCAGCATTCACCTCTACCTACAAGGAGAAGGCTTCTCGGTGAACATCTGTGCCTCTGCCTGAGGGCTTGCTTTCTGGCTGCGGGAGCACGTTTGTGTGCAGGGCTAGCCAGGAGTGCTGGAGGGTTAATGTTCCCAGAAGCAGCCCTCAACCAACAGACAGGAAGCTGACCGACAATACCCTAGTTTCTTTGCCGCTTGGGTGGGCTTCTCTGAGACAGGCTCTGCGCTGTCTTCCAGAATGCCCCCGCAGGATCGAGCCCAGCTGCTCCACCTGCTCTATTCACAGCTTTCACAGGCTTCCTTCCCTTTCCTGCCTCCACTTCCCCATCCCTCTCCCGGTGCCACTTAGCATGACCTACCAAATAAACTACTTGTACTCAAAGTCTTGACTCACATCTGCTTTGGGGGAACCCCGCTGTCTATAACGAATTGCCAGAGACTGGGTGACTTAAACAACAAAGGTTTATTTCTCACAGTTCTGGAGGCCGGCAGATCTGGTGTCTGGTGAGAACCCACTTCCTGGTTTGCAGATGGCCATCTTCTTGTTGTATGCTCACGTGGTGGAGAGCAGAGAGAGGAAGCAAGCTCCCCTGAGTCTCTTTTTATAAGGGCACGAATCCCATGGTGAGGGCTCCACCCTCATGCCCTAATTACCTCCCAAAGGCCCCATCTCCAAAACCATCACGTTAGGGATTAGGGTTCTAACATATGAATTTGGGGGGCCACAAACATTCATTCCGTAGCACCTATCTAAGACAAATGGAAGCGAACCAAGCCTTAACCCTACCTTTCCTGAATGGGTTATATGTCAGAATAACAAAATAGTTGATGAAGAAAATTTTTCTTCATAGATGATTCACAGCGAATAAATGAAGGAGGAATGACAAAATTAGAATATCTCCCTTTTGCTAATGAGATAGTGAAACAAGGTATCTAGACAATGATCATCAGTAACCATTAGATAAAAAGTTGATGGGTGTAGTAGATTAAATGGTGGCCACAAAAAATATGTCCACGTCCTAACTCCTGAAACCTCTGAATGTTAACTTGTTTGGAAAAAGTCTTTGCAGATGCAGTTCATTATCTGAATTCGTTCCCTAAATTCAGTTAATAGTTTTGAGATAAGATCATGCTGGATTAGCCAGGTGGGGAAAATCCAGTGATGAGTGTCCTTATAAGAGACAGAAGAGAAGACACAGACACATGAAGATGAGGAGGCAACGTGACCACAGAGGCAGCCAAAGAAGCCATGGAATGCCACCAGCCACCAGAAGACGGAAGAGGCAAGAAAGAATTCTCCTTAGAGTGTTCAGAGGGAGTGTGACACTGCTGATGCCTTGACTTTGGACTTCTGGCCTGCAGAATGGTAAAAGAATACATTTCTGTTGTCTTAAGCCACCAAGTTTGTGATACTTTGTTATAGCAGCTGTAGGAAACTAATACACTGAGGAACTTTATAATGAATGAGTCAGACTGACACTACCTGAATTTACCGCTCAACCTAAGCATCACTATTTTACTACAACCACCAGACACCATGTGCCTCCTGATGCAATGAAAGAGGAAGCATACAGCATCATTCATAAAATATTCCTGGAAAAAAAAGTAAATGTAAATTTAATCAAACTTCTAAATATAATTGCAGGGGACAGAGGAATATGTTAAACGACACCACAAGGATACACTCGGCCAAATCCAGAATGTGAGAAAATTGACTAGAAAATGACCCAGTTTCTTGAACAAACAAAAGGGCATAGATAAAACGAAAGAGGAAGAAGTATTATAGCTTCAAAGATACTTAAAAAAATTAATCAAGTGCAGTGTATAAAGTTTTGTTGGATCCTGGTTTGAGCAAATCAACTACAAAATTGTGTTTTTTAGACATTCAGGGGAAAGTGATCATGAACCAAATATTAGATAAAATTAATTTAATTTTGTTGGGGGAGTGTGATGATGGAATTACGGTTACTTTAAAAAGTCACTGTATGTTAGAAATACGTACTGAGTAATTACAGGTGAAATGGTAGGCTGTCTGGGATTTGCTTTAGAATACTCCACAAAAACAAACACAAGTGAGAGGATTCATAAAACAGGAAGGGCAGAAACTTGAAATGGTCGAGCTGGATGATGAAGTGGATCATTATACTAGTCTCTATATTTATGTGTATGTGGGAAATTCTCCATAATAAAAAAAATAGTATGAGCAAGCCCTGATGGCCTGGCAGTTGAAGTTCGACGCTCACCGCTTCAGCAGCCTGGGTTAGTTTCCCAGTGGTGGAACCACACCCCTTGTCTGTCAGTTGCCATATTACGGCAGCAGTTCACATAGAAGAAACAGAAGGAATTACAACTAGGCTATATAACCATGCGCTGGGGCTTTGGGGAGGAAAAAAAAAAAAAAGAGGAGGATTGTCAACAGATGTTAGCTCAGGGCAAATCTTCCCCTGCAAAATAATAATAATAATAATAATAGCAATATGAGACGTAGTTGTAAGAATTAGTGGTCATGTGTCTTTATGGGTGAAGAAACAGAGCTTTGCAGCAAGTGAAAAGCTCCTCCCATGACCATTTCTCATGTGGTCTCTTGACAAAGGCTGAGACATCACACTAAAGAAAAGCCATCTTTCTGCAGGCTGAGTAGCTGGGCCCAGGATCTTGGCTTTCTGGGGCTCTGACTCCAGAATAGGTCAGAACTTAGAAACCCAGAAGAGCAGTGGGCGAGTGGGTGACTACCAGTATGTCTCAGAATCTAGACTGCCCTCTAAATTGATTCTTGTGTAGATGCTGGTGCTGATGCTGTTCATCAAGTATTTCCAGTTCTATTCTAGGCCTAAGCAGGATTGCTCTTTCCTGCCCCCTTGTGGTTGAGTGGGGCCATGTGATTAGTTCTGGAGAATGGTTTGTGAACACAAGGGACAGGTGTCCCTTCTGGGCTGTAGCCATTAACTGTAAGACCCTCCAGAGCTCTTTCAATTTTTTTCTTCTGGTGATTGATGGCATTGAGCTGGTGGCTGCTCTATCAGCCTGGGTCCCTGAATAACTAAACTGAGAAGAGTCCACTTTTTGACCACAGCACATAGGTAGCCTGAGCAAGAAATGAACCTTCGTTGTTCTAAGCCACTGAGATTTGGAGGTTATTTGTTATCACAGTATAATTTAGCTTATCTTGACTAAAATAGTGCCAGACAGCAATCAACCCCACAGGCTACCTGGTAAGAACCTGAATAATAATAATTATTGTTGTTCTGTTATTATTGTCATAATAATAATCATTAATTATTATAGTTACCACTTACTGAGTGCCTTTTATGTGTACCAGGCATGTACTACCCGGTACGTGCATTGTCTCAGTTACTCGCCACAAAAACCTGGGGAGGCAGATGTTACTATCCCATGACCAAGATGAGAAAAACCGGAGCTTAGGAACTGGCACAAAGATTTCACTTGCTATATGAGGGTTATTGAAGATGCTGTTCAATCATTCTCTGTCCTTATAAAAGTCCCATGGGATGAATTCTCTAGCAATTATAGCAAGAACCCTCTTGGAAAGCAATTTTACAACACATATCCAGGGCCATTGGGATGTTCATACCCTTGGCTCCAGTCATTACTACTGTCTAGCCCAGGCTTTTTGTGGTGTAGATTCCTTGAGTAGAATAAACGTAGTGTAAAGAAAAATGGATTAATGACATTAGAGTTTGTCTCTTGAATTACTAGTATGTTTCCTCTAGCCAGATGTTAAGAATGTTACTGGTCCAGTTTCCCTCTCCACCTGGACGGCCGTGCTGGTGGGGAACGTTAAACCGAACGCCCATCACCCTGAAGTATCAATCCTGCGGTGACCCTGTTGTTGCCGGTGTTGGCCGCCGCCTCCTTCCGCAGGCTAACTTGCCTGTCAATTGTAGCAATGGTATTACCTTTCTAGTTGTTCTGCAAACCCTTCTGGGAGACTGGCAGGATACAAACACATTTTGAAGTATGTTTAGGTGCATCTCATATTTGTTCTGTGGTGCCCCGAGGGTAGGCCTGGGGGTTTGGAGCGCTCCTGGCGGATTTGAACCAGAGTAATCTTAGGTGAGTGTGTGGCGCCCCCGCATGGGGCCTGGCGAAACAATACTGCTGGGTTCTCTCGCGACTGTTCCGGCGTCTCCAACTCTCCTTCGGCCTTTTGGTGTCCTCTCCTCTCAATCTCCACTCTCCTGCAGCCTCACTCCTCGGCAGCAGTAGCCCCTCCTCTTACTCTGTCTTCCTAGCCGCGCAGTCAGCCCTCTGGGTCCCCTTCATCCCTCCCCCTCCCCCGACGCATCGCCGCACTTACAGCTTCGCCCAACACAAAAAGTCCCTAAGTTATTTTATTGCTGTTTACAGAGGTCAGTTAATGCCCCCTGGGCACCCATTCCGTCCCCTAGTAGTCACTGCTTGGTTTGCTGGCGGCACGAGAACAGCGGCCGGTCCTCGATCCGCGGGGCCGAGGGTGGTACACGCACACCCCGCCACGGGGGGCGCCACCACCTCCCTTCCCACCGCCCGGCCAGCCGGGATCTGCTCGCTGCCCGCAGCCCTCTGCCGGCCGGGAAGGCGGGTCAGAAGGGGCTCCTCCTTGTCTGGCGAGAAGGCAGGCTCGTGGGAAAGGGGCGGCGAGAGACCCCGCCACGACTCCCAGGCTTTGTCGTGCGCGCTGGAGGGGGTGCGCTGGGCCGCTACTCGGAGTAGCAGTAGGTCCCGTAGGCGGCCTGCTGGGGTCTGGGGAAGCCGAAGCTGCGCACTCCGGGATCCGGGAGGCCCCCGCAGCGCGGCCGCGGCGTGGTGATGGGGAAGCGCACGCTGCCGTCCGCCAGCCAGCCGCCGTCGCATTGGTCCAGCGCCGAGAACTTCCAGGCGGCGTAGAGATGCCCTACCTTGGCCACCACGGCCCCGCGCCGCCGGCACGCCGCGTGGGCCTCAGACAGCGTCAGCCGCCCGGACACGAAGAACACGTGGCCTGGGGACCAGAGCAGGTCAGCGACTGGCCGAGAGCGGGGCAGGGCTGGGTGCGGCGGGGATTCAGACCCCCAGGGAGCGCGGGCAGAGAAGGGGCGGGACCGAGCTTGGGTAGCAGGAGTGGGTGTATCGAGGTACGGGGTGTGGGTGAGGTTGCGGGAGGCGGGCTGGAACCTGGGTGGGCGGAGTGACGGAGGGGGCGACTTTTTGACGAGACAGAGAGGCGGCCACCGATCTCAAGCCTCCTGCGTGGTACTTTCCCCGCCCCATTCTTCAGACCCCGCCCCAAGTCGCCGTCTTAGCCTCGCTCGCCCCGCCCCGCCTCCCTCGCGCGCCAGGGCCCCTCCTCCGCAGCCCGTCAGGCTCCGCCCCCTCCCGGGTCGCTCGCCCAGCCCGCACCTGCCAGCGCAGAGGTGAAGCAGAACGCGTCGTAGCGGTCGCGCTTCCGGTCGCGGGGCCCATAGCTGCGGATCCCGGGCCGACCGCGGCCGCCGCACGGAGCGCGCGCCGTGAGCACGGGGTAGCGCACGGAGCCCTCGAGCAGCCAGCCCGCGTTACACCAGTCCAGACCCTCGGTCCACGCTGGCGGGAGATGGCAGGGGCGGGGATGGTCCGGGGGATTAGAGGCCTCACAGGCAGGAGTCAGGCCCGGAGCTCGCCTCCACTGGGGCGCATGTGACAGCCCGTAGAGGGCCTAGGCAGTGCCCAGGTTCCGCCGCTCACCCTGGTACAGCTGGGCGTAGGTGGCCAGGCGTCCATCCTGCTCCTCGCACGCCTGCTTCGCCTCGTAGTAATTGAACTGGTACCGGCCCCGGCTGGGCTGGTACGGAAACACCACACCTAGGGGGTGGCGGACAGCCTGGGGAGAGCCGGCAGACGGGGGGAGGGGAAGGAACCGGGCAGCCAAGGAGAGAGGGCTGGGGGAACCCCGAGGCGGGCGGGGGAGACGCTGGGGGAGGAGCCCTGGGTGACCCGAGATGAGGTGGCAGGAAAGGAGCGGGGCGGGAACCGAAGAGCCTCACCCTCCAGGCGCAGAGTCAGCGCCACGCTCTCGTCCTCGATGCCATTGATGAGCTCACAGCGGTACCTGCCCTCGTCCTCCAGGCGCACGCCCGCGATGACCAGGGAGGCGTCTAGACGATGTCCCCTCCGCATCCTGGCGCGCCCCCCCAGAGGTCCGTAGCCCCGGGCGTGCAGTCCGTTAGTGATGAGGATCGGCGTTTCCTGGAGCTCCCCTGGCTCCACTTTGCTCCAGCGTACCTTGTAGCTGGGAGGCGGGGTGCCCAGGACGCAGGGCAGCGTGGCCGTGGCCCCACGACGAGAGTGAATGACCTCGTGGATGGGGGGCAGGAGGTAGTGGGGGCCAAGGTGGGATGCTGAGCAGAGGGGGCCACAGTGGCAGGAACCCCCTGACCCTCACTGCCCCAAATGCCCATCCAGACCCCGTTCCCCAGACTCCCCACCCCCTCTCGTCCCTCTCCCACTCAGCAGTGACTCTCGCTCCCTGTGTACCTCAGACAGCTGCCTTTTCAACACCCGGAGCCTCTCCCCAACTGTCCCCCAGATTCTGGGCTGGGCTGAGGTCTTACCTGGGTCCCCCAGGGCTTTGTGGAAGAAGACGGTGAAGGTCCAAGGGAGAAGGAGGTGGCAGAGCGTGGGGAGCGTGAGCCAGCCTGGCATGACGAGGAGTCCGCCCAGCACCGTCCGTAGGGCACAAAGGGTGGGCATTCCTTAGGACTAAGGGAATGAGGGGGGCAGGGTTGGAGATGAACTCCCATCAGGGGTTCCTCAGAGGGGACTGTCCAGCTGGAAGCCATGGGGGCAGAGAAAGGGACTGCTGTTGGTGGCAAAAGGAAGACGATGTGGGACGGGGGGCAGTGACAGTCCCTCCCCACACCCCCACCCACACCCCGACCTCCTGGGCCCGTCCCTCTTCCTCTCTCACATCTTTTCAGGCAGCTGGTCCTGATTTAGCATCTCCTCTCCCTATCCCCTTCTCATCACAAGTGCTACTTCCCAAGTCCTGCCATCTGGATTGCCAGCTCGTCTCTATCCTCTCCCAGCACCCATTCTCCATCTGCAGCCAGAATGAGTATGATCTTGTCACTCTCCTGCTTAAAACAGTGGCTTCTGTTGCCCTGAGGATAAAGTCTAGTCCCCGAGCCACAGCTTCCAAGGCTCTCTGTGGTCCAGCCTCCCTGCACATCCAACATCACCCCCACCCCCTGTGCCCTCTGCATTGTGCTCCAGACATGTTGACCTTCTGGCTCCGAGACAGCCCAAGTTCACCCTCGCCTCCTCACAGACATCAGTGTGGGCCTCACCTCCTCTGGGAAACCTCTCCTCTCCCCCGACTCCGCCACACTGTAGTGCAGTGAGATCTGCTCCTCTGGTTCTCCTACTGCAGTGGACTGGGGGCTTTTTATTCTTAGAAGTACTTTTATTAGCAGCTAAATTAACAGTATGAATTTGAAAGTAATACATCTGCATATGTAGACTATATCAGTGAGATTTCCAGTCATTATAAAGTGTAAAATTATAGTTATAAAAAATAATTTCAAACACAATTGTCTATTTCAGTAGTTTTTCCCTCCTTCTTTATTGTATCTATTCTTTATCACCTTGACCATTTAAAAAAATTGTACAGAGGTCCTCTTAACCAAGCTTTATTCATTTTCTAAATCTGATTCTTCCACTTCCTAAGTGCATGAGTGAATGAGTTATTTCACCTCTCTCTGACCCAATGTCCTCATCGGTAAAATGTGGATAATAATACACAGCTACCTCACTGGGTAGTTGTGAGGATTAGATGAAATAATATATGTAAAATGCTTAAAATAGTGTCTGATATGTGGTAAGTGCTATGCATGTGTTAGCTGTTATCTGCAGCTCCTAGCATAGTTTCTGGTACACAGTAGGTGCTAAATAAATGTGTGTGTGTGTATGTGTGTGTATGTGTGTTAATGAATGAGTTCACACTAAGGACTTCTGGGAAGGAGAGCTGGGACCTGGGGAGAGGGAGGAAACGCTGAGGAGGAGCCAGAAAGCTAAGGAGCTGAGTTCCATCTTCCTGCAAATGAAGCCCAAAGAGGAGCTTGCAGGAGGAGAATGGGGCTTGGGCACAGAAAGGACTTCCCAATGGTTAAAAGGGAAAGTATCTGGGCCAGGGACGTGAGCGAGAGAACCACTTCTCTTGTAGAGAACCTGCTTCGCAGAGTGATGGTGGGAACTGAGACTGACTGAAGGACCAGCAGCAGGGACAGCTGGCACTCACAAGTTTGAAGCTGAATGTGCCTGAAGCTGCTCTGAGCACTTTACATGTCTGCTTTTATATTTACTCCTCCCAGCCATCCTACAAGGTAAGAGCGATTATGAATCCCCTTTTATACCTGCTCAAACAGATTTTAGGAAACTTGAGCGAGGTCACACTGTTAGTAAGAGGCAGAGTTTGCCGGGATTTGAATCTGGATTTGACAGTGAGGCTCGAGCTCTTAATCACTGATCTGTATTTCAAAGCATCAGAGCAGGCACGCACATAGCTTCCTCATATCCCTTACAGAGACTGAGAGAGTGGCCCCCAGCTCCACTGCCTACCTGTTAGACGCAGGTCTCTTCACAGAGATGGAGGAAGCAGTGATTGGCAGTTTTTCGTCCTGCTGGAGGAAGAGGTTCCAGGTGAAGGAGTTGTTTGGGTCCCTGTAAGTTCTGAGCACCTTAGAGCTCCAGGACTTGAGCATCTGATCAGTGCGGTGACTCCTTTTGCACCTTTGAGGAAAGGCTTCTGCTCTGAGCTCACAGATGATGCCAAGGTGCCAAGGTGTCCAGCCCCTTGACTGGGCACTTTATCTGTGGTGCTCACTGTCCTGCTCCCAGGGGAAGATGCTGGGGTCGGGATGAGGGGTGGGGACCCATGAAGGGGGATGGAGTAAAGAAGGCAACCCAGGAATGATTACCTGGAAGAATGCAGAGAGCTGGGTGCCTCGTTTCTTCTAGATGCTCTTGGGCCAGAGAAGGGGTGGATCGATTGGACCAATGGGAGTGGGGATGAACTACAAATAAGGCTTAAAGATCCGTAGCTGTCAAGCTCCAGCTGCCTCCATCTTTCCATTTGGGCCTCATCTAAGCAGCCTCCCTCCCGCTCCCCGAACCAAGTCCTCACCTCTACCCTCCGGTGTCTGGGTGCGCATTGCCTATGGAAAGAGGCTCTCACGGTGGGAACCAGACTTCCAGGACCTCCGGCTGCTTCAAGAAACCTGACCCCTTCTATCCAGACCCCTAGCTGTCCGTCTGTCTGTCCTTTCCTTCTCTGTCCCCACCCCATCGGAAGCACAATTTCCCATTGTCTCCGTCTTTTCCCCTATTGTTGAATAACAGGGGCCCTTTCTTTATCTTGTGGGTACGAAATGTCAACAGCTGGGGATGTGGGATGCAGGACTGGCTGGCACACACCACCGGAAAAAGGGCCTGGGTGGGGGCGGGCTCAGAACAGGAACTGACATCCTCAAGGAGAAGGGAATGGGATGAGGGAGAGAGAGTGGTTGGTGAGACGGTTGAAATGGGGTCCCCCTCAGTACTCAAAGCTTCAAGGCTCTAAAGAGATTTTGTGTGAGGCCAGGGAGATGGCTGGACTCCATGGAGGGCAGAGTGAGGAGTTAGAATCGCAATAAAAGAGATGGAAATTAGACAGCAAGGAGGATTCTTCTGTCCCTGGGAAAGGACAGGGGAATTTCTGGGGATGGAAGAACTTCGGAAAACTCTCCAAGACAGAGGTCATCTTATTTGTTCCCTGGTTTCCCATCTCCTCCTTCAGAACAGATGGATAATCTTAAAGTTCTCAAGAGAAGGTTGACGCTTAGCCTCCCTGGGTGGAAACTCACTTCTCTGAAGTCGCCCTTTTTAGGAAGTTCTTTCTGAAGTCTAAACTCCTACTGGAGTTTAAGCTCATTTTTAAACCTTTCTACTGAGGTATAATTTACATACAACAAAGAGCACAGATCTAAGTGTACAGCTCAATCGATTTTTGCTTGCATACACACCATGGAACTAACCACCCCCAGATCAAGATATTGAACACTTCCAATACTCAGAATAAGCCCCTTTCCCTTTTGTGCGCTGTCAATGCAGTGGGAATACTCGCTCTGTAAACAGCCATTGGGAAACATTTCAAGCTTCGTTATCACCTCTGAGCCTTCTTTTCTCTCTGCTCTCACACCAGTAGCTTCGCACTATTAGAATCATCCACGTTCAGAACTGGAAGGGACCTCAGGACACTCGGCTTCCTCAGTTACCAGATGAAGAAGAGGACGTGGAGGAGAAAGTGACCTGCCCAAGGCCACACAGACACGGTTGTTGAGTGAAGCTTAGAATCACCGCTTTTTCTGCTAATCAGCCTTCTGCTGCTCTCCTCCACTCTCCGAGTTAGCTGAACTGCGGGGTTTTCACTGGGGCCTGTGTCTGATAACAAGGAGCCCACCCCACTGGTCCTCTTTGAGGATTTGATTGACTGTCTTTTCCCTCTCCGCTCCATCCTCATTTCTAAGCCCTTCCCTCTTCCTCTCAGAGAGAAGGACCAACAAGAGAAGACAAACAGCCGCTTGTCTCCTCAGCCAGGACGCCCTGATCCAGCGCATCTGATTGGCTTCCGCCCAACTCAAACAAACAGCCTCCCGCAGAGAGGGGGACAGTACAGTGGGAGGCAGCCCGTGGCTGCCACCATTCCAGGCTCACTCCCCACGGCGCCTTTCTCTCCAGATCACTTCTGAACTGTGGTTTGGAAGTCTCTGGTATGTACATCCATAAAAGCCTGAGTTTGGCAGGGAGCAAGGCCTAGAACTCTTCAATCGATGCAGAAAGAACCCTTTGAGGATGGAATGAGAAAGGAGCAGACCAGGAATGAGTCAGTAGTGCAGAGCCAAACTGGGCTTCGCTCGCTCACGCTCCTTTCTAGGTCTCCCCAGGACTCTCTGAAAGAGGAAGGCGTGAGACAGCTCAGGCGCCGGCTGGCGTCTTTTCACTGAACTAGCGTCTTCTGAGGAGAGGCCTCTGCCTCTCCTGCTACTACTGACCAGGGTGAGGTGGGACCCTCTAGGACAAGCGAGGAGTCCTGGCACCTCTTTCCGTAACACCCCAGACTCAGCTCCACCCTCCAGGCACAGCTGACCAGTTTTCTTGACCCCTGGTGATGGCAAACACAGTCCCAGTTTACTGCTGGGATTGTTGCATGAAGGACTGGAGGAGTTAGCAAAACGGCACCTTAGATGGAAGAGCAGGGAGCGGCTCGGTGTGCCCGGCAGGGCTCCTGCTCCTTCTGACACAATCCATGTTCACACACAGCTGCTGCGTTCTCTGCAGGCCACTGGGCAGCCTCCCCTCCTGCTCTGCTGGCCCTGGCCTTTCTCCTCCTCCCTGGCAGCCCCCAGGCCACTCTCTTCTCTCTGGTCCAGGCTCAGGCCTCTTGTGGCGCTGGATCCTGGCTCCACTGCAGGATGATGTGGGGAGTGAGGCCGAAGGAGTCAGCCTTGAAAAGACCCGTTTTCCACTCAGGAGGCCTCATTGTACCCTGAACAGACTTTGTATTGTGGATAGAGTCAAGGGTGGGAAGAAAGGGGGAGATGGAGTCCCTGTCCTTGGAGGGGCTGCCAATCTGGAGGGGGCATGAGGTCACACGGGCTATGGAAGGAACAGCGGAATGAGAGGAGTCCTGTGTCAGCCAGATGCTAACCTCATATAAGACTCTCTACCAAGCTCCTGGAGCTTCAGTCTTTAATTGCCAAGCAGGTACCACGTCTGCCCAGCGAGACTTATTGGTGTGAGGGAGACGGAACAGCATTCCATCAAGTGAAAAGCACATTATGAATCAGTTCGTTGTTAGAGGCTGGGGGATCCTTCTATATAGTGAGGGTAACCAGTGGGGTTTCCCAGTTTGGGATCCCTGGAAGTCTGAGACAACAGCAGAGGAGAAGAGGAAGGAAGGGAGGAGAGGCAAAAAGGGGTAGAGGGCCAAAGAGCTCTCTCCCTCTTACTCTCTCTATTTCCATCTCTAGGGCGAGCATGAGGACGTCACTGCAGTGCCTCAGATGCCACCTGGAGCCCTGACAGGAGACTGTGCCTCATGTCGACTGCCCTGCCCAGCCTGGAAGTCCTGGGCAGAGCTTGGTCGCCTGTTTGTCACTCCAGCCCCTTTATTTGGGGCTCTTGAGAAGTGGGCCTCATGGTGCCCACTTCAGTACTGATCAGAACCTAGAAACTAGCACCAAGGATGTCCAGAGGGAGGAGCTGGCTGGCTGTATGGGCAGCTTCTTCCTGGCTCTGAAACGTCTCAGAGGAATAGGATGGGGGTGTCATGCTGTCCTCATCTCAACCTGGCAGATGTTCAGGTTCATCAATCATGTCTGTTCTGAGGGTGTTGGGGGGCAGTGGGGGCAGCGGGCCAGGCCGTGCTCCTCTCAAGTCCTTCTTTTCCGAAGGGCCTCACTGTGCAGAGAAGCAGGTGAGGGGCAGAAGTAGATGGCCGTAGAAAATTCTCAGTCTAGTGGGATAACACCTGTTCTGTCGACCTCAGAGGTAGACGAGGGTAGAGTAAAATCATAGAAAGCGCAGGGAACAGCAAAAGACAAGTGTCCAGTGGCTATTTTCATGGTTAATAAGATTTAACGATTGTATTTTACTTATTAATAATCACATCACCTCTCATCCTGTCTGTAACAGTCAGTTCACTGCTATATCCAAGTGGGCCACTGAAACTGCGTCTTCGTTCGACCACCCCTGCCAAGGCCTTGAGATCCTGACCCCTCGTTTTATCTCCCAGACCCCAAAGCTCGCTCAGAGCCCTGCTTCTCTCCCCACTGTGGCTGGGCTGGGCTGGGCTGGGTCTGACTTTCGTTGGTACAGACTCTCCCTCCCAGTCTCATACTAGTCAAACTTAAACCCAGAAGTAAGAAGATTTGCAGGTTTTAATCAACTATTCTCAGATAGAATTTGAATAATTTAAAAAAGTGAGCCCTATCTTATAGCTCCACTTTCCTTCACACGGGAGAAATAAACACTACCACAGTATAATTATTCCCATTTTATGGACAAGGAACCTGATGTCCAGACAAAGCAGGTAGCCTGTTCAAGGTCATATGGCTACTAAGTGACCCAGTAGCTTATCGCAGAAGCTAGCTGAAGTCCTCCCTTCTGTGAAAGGATATTTCCTCCAAACTTGGAAAAGGTAAAATGCGGATTGCTCAGTTTTTCGTTTTTGTCTTTTTGGTATCACTCTAGAGCATTGTCCAAAAAGCTTGCTGGACACTCATCTTCCTCTCCCGGGGAGGGTAACTTTGTTGTTACAGTGTATTTGATAAATAATCGATAACAGACAAAGATGCAGACACTTACAGTCGTGTATGGTTAGTGGTTAACTGGCAGAAGTTGATAAAATGATAAGGTTGTATTGCCCAACAGAGAGGTTAACCACAAAAGTGTTTTCGTTTTATTGTCCGAGAATGTTGACCAGTCTCGTATCTAAATTAGCAATCTCATTTTGGCATTCCTTTTCTTCTTGACTGTATAAGTCCCTGTTGCTCAAATGCTCTTCAAAGCTACTCTTTTATCTTCTTCCTGGTTCCCTCATCAATGAGTCAAATAAATCTTTGACGTAAGTTAACAGATAACCTTAAGAATTGTGTTTTTCCTCTTCTCAACTTGCCTATATTGAAGACCACACACTAACGCTCTCCGCTTCCCTCGAACAGCAGATCCCCTGGCGGAACCAGCCCGTGAGTCCCCCTCAACCTGCACCTCCTTGAGGGCAGGGGACTGTGTAACTCCAGCCCACAGCGGACCAGCAACGGGCACCGAGAGGAGGTGGCCATTCTCAGCAGGAGTCCTCTCTGTGCCTTCCCGTAGTTAAGGACACCCTCTGCTCCAGTGGAGCACCATCGTTCCGGCAGCTCAATCCCATTAGCAACATCAGGGACCTTATGACACACCAGTTGTGCTTCCTTCAGGAAGCCTTCCTTAACAAAAGCGAGAAACGATTCAACGGCTTCCTCCCTTGGCATATACTAGGCATTCAAAAATGTTTACTGAATAAATAAATAAAATTGAGGTTTTCTCATTTCTGCAAGCTTAGCAAAAACTCAGTATGGTGTAGTGGTTAAGCTCCACTGGCTCTGGAATTTAAGTGTCTGGGAATAAATCACAGCCCTGCTCCCTACTAACCGGATCACATTAGGCAACTTGCCTACCTTCTCTTTGCTTCATTGTTTTCATCTGAAATTAAGCACAACAACAGCAGTGACAACATCAATAACGAGAACAGTGCCTGACTCACAGAAAGCAATAGATGTATTTTAGCCCTTGTTATTGGTGGGGGGAAGAAATATCAAAGGGGACAGAATCAATCAAAACACAGATACTGATTAATTATAAGGAATTGCCTTATTTTTAAAAGGATATAAAAGCTGCACATAAAAGTCAATGTCCCACTTAATTATTTTTATTTATTACAAAACAAAATAAAGGCAATACCTGCATATAATGGAAAAGAATTCAACCACTATCAAAGGGATAATAAAATGAAAAGTAAAATTCTCCTTTCCTTCCTTCCTTCTTCTCACTTCCTTCTGGAACAATTAAACCGTTGTTAAGGTTCTTCTATATTTGTCAAGAAAGTTTTAAAGAATCTAAAAGATTGCAGATAAAAAGAAACAGACATCATGCGTATATTTTAAAAATCTAATTGAGATCATATTACACAAACTGTTCCCTACCTTGCTTTTTTCACCTAATAAGATGTTGTGAGCATCAGCACACGACATAAAGCTCCCTCATTCTTTTTCACGTCTGCTTGGTATTCCACTGGGTGGCCACAGAATAATTCATTTAACGAGATGCCTATTGATGGACATTTGGGTTGCTAGAGGTTGAGACAACTAGTTAGCCATCTGGGGAAAAAAATCAAATCTTAAACTCATTCCTTAAACTAAATAAATTTCAGGATGCTCAAAGATGTAAATATAAAAATGAAGCCAGAATGAATCATAGAATAATAATTTTTTAAATTGGAAGGCAACTTCTATCACTTTTTTAAAAACTGATTACAGAATGATACACTTAATTATAAACAATTGAACAAACAAAAACCTTAGAAATGAAAATACCCCTTAGTCCTGCCACACAGAGAAAATAACTTTTAACAACTTGTTGTCTGTCCTTCCAAACTTTCAAGACATTTCTATGTATTTACATGTGTGTGAATTTTTTTAGTCATGATGTAAATGGCAACGTGCATGACATCAGGTAGCCAGCAGGTGGCGCAAGAAGACTGCGATACCGGCGCGTCTGGGCCCTGCAGCGGGCGGGGCTCCGCAGCCAGCTGGTGTCCTGTGCACTGTGGCCGGGTCACCACACGTCTGAGGCGGAAGATGTTCTGAGATGCAAATGGTACAGCAGAGACCTCAAAGCTCCTGTGTTTAGCTGAGCTCTAGTTCAGAGGGAGGGAGTCAATTTCTCAAAGCGTTGTTCTTATTGTAGCAGCAGTGCTAAGAGAAAGAACGAGGCTGGGATTCCTTGCTGTTTTTCCTTCCAGCATGGTCCTCTTTTCCACCTCTACTTCCACTCGTGTTGGTGTTTTATACTGTCACTTTCAGAAATTTTTTCATAGAATTTTTACTGATGTATCTGGAAATATTTTATTTTTAAAAATAAAAAGAAACAGCCAAGATGGATGTGTTGGCTGGCTACCTTAAAAACTCCACTCCTTAGGACGACTCTAGAAGGGGCAGCAAGCGCTGTGAGGGAAAGGGGGCCCCGCTATGCCCCGCCTCCCTCCCGGGTCATCCATCCCCCCCCCCCCCCCCCCCCCCCCCCGCCACAGCCAGCATTCACTCACACTGGGGTGTCCACATAAATCCCTTCAAAGAAAGATTCACTGCATTCATCAAGGAGAGGCAGAGACAAGAACTAGAGGGACAATGATGCAGGCCTCAGAGACGGGGCTTGACCCCAACTGGAGAGAAGGATAGCACCAAAAAACCAGATAGCAGTGGTGCTTCAAAGAGAAATAAATGTTTGCCAAGCAGATGCCACACCAGGCTGCTTCAGAGAACAGCAGAGTGTGGCTGAGACCGCGGTCTTGTCATTCCACTTCCTTTCTCTGTGCTGTCTGGCCCTCAGGTTACTTACCTACCAATAGGGACAATTACATACAACACTGAATTATGGTGAGAATCAAATATGATAATGTTTGTGAAAATGATATTTTAAACTGTAAACCACTGTTTTCAACAAAATCCACTAATTTTAAATAGTAAAGCCCGGTACACCAGGGCTACTGCAATATTTTTATTATCGTGAACTCAAATGGTTAATGAGGTAGGAAAATTTGAAACTGCTAGGCTGAGGATGAGGAAATAATATCCACCTAAGAAAAACCCTGTGAGACACAGGCGCAGCTTTTTTTTTTTCTCAACAGAAAGAAAAGTAAATAACATTCTACTGGGTAAACATTGCTAGCATTTGTGACATACACTTTTAAAAATCCCACATTGTGGTTGTAACCACAAGCTCTTTTCTCTTGCCTCAGTCTCAGATTTCACTAACAGAAAGAAGTGACTTTTACAACAGTGGGCGTGGACTTAAACCCACTGCAGAACAATAAGCCAAGACCTGAATATTGAGGGTTGAATTCTGCTGCCGAAATTTGGAAAGGAAAGGTAATCTCGGGGCCACACTCACTTCCTCCTCAAGGTCCCCCCTGTGGCCAGTCGTATGTCTCTCATCTCTGTGACAGTCCCTCAGCACTGAGGAACTCAACTGGATTCTTTTGCTGTTTTAAAATTATTTTTCCTGATAAAATATATTAACTGTAGAAAAATTGGAAATCGGAGAAAAATGTAAAGATAGGGAAATGCTTACTCATAATCACTTCACCAGGCATGACTGCTGACGACATGTTAGTGCTCCCCCCTGGGTGTTATAGTATGCCCATGGATTTTTTTTTTTTTTAGATATAATCCACACACCATAAAATTCACCCTTTTAAAGTGTACAATTCAGTAGGTTTTAGTGTGTTCACAAGTTTAACCATCACCACTGTCTAACTGCAGAGCATGTCATCAACCCAAAAAAAGAAACCCTGTTCCCAGTAGCAGTCAGTCTCCATGGACCTGTGTCAATGGGTTTGCCTGTTCTGGGCATTGCATGTAAATGGAATCATACAGTACGTGGCCTTTTGTGACTGGTTGCTTTTACTTAGCGTGTTTTCAAGGTTTATCCATGTTGTGGCATGCATCAGTACTTCATTCCTTTTGATGTGTGAATAATATTCCATTGTGTGGATCTACCATATTTTGTTTAACCATTCATCAGTTGATGGACATTTGGGCTCTTTCCACTTTTTGACTATTATAAATAATGCTTCTATGAACATTTGTGTACAAGTTTTTGTATAGACATATATTTTCAGTTTTCTTGGGTATATACCTAGGAGTAGAATTGCTGGGTCATATAGTAATTCTATGTTTAATTTTTTGAGGAACTTTCAAACTGTTTTCCAAGGCAGCTGCACTATTTTACGTTCCCACCAGCAATGTATGAGTTCCAGTTTCTCCACATCCTCACCAACGCTTGTTATTGTCCATTTTAAAAATTATAGTTATCCTAGTAGGTGTGAAATAGTATCCTTTTGTGGTTTTCATTTGCATTTCTCTGATGACTAATGATGTTGGACATCTTTTTATGTGCTTATTAGCCATTTGTATATCTTCTTTGGAAAAATGTTTATCCAAATCCTCTGCCCATTTTTAAATTGTGTTGTCTTTTTATTGTTGAGTTGTAAGAGTTCTTTATATATTCTGGATATTAGAATCTTATCAGACATATGATTTGCAAATACTTTCTCCCATTCTGTGTATTGTCTTTTCTTTCTTGGTGGTGTCCCTTGGAGTACAAAAGTTTTTAATTTTGATGATGTCCAATTTATCTATTGTTTTCTTTGGTTGTTTGTACACTTGCAGTCATAGTTAAAAAACTATTGCTTAATCCAAGGTCATGAAAATTTACATCTATGTTTTCTTTTAAGAGTTTTATAGGTTTAGCTTTTACATTTAGGTCTTTGACCCATTTTGAGTTAATTTTTGCATATGAAGTGAGGTAGGGGTCCAACTTCATTTGTTTGCATGTGGATATCCAGTTGTCCTAGTGCCATTTGTTGAAAAGACTATTCTCTCTCCATTTAATTGTTTTGGCATTCCTTTTGAAAATCAATTGCCCATAAATGTATGGGTTTGTTTCTGGATTCTCAATTCTATTCCATTGATCAACATCTCTCTCCTATGCCAGAATTGTAGCTTTGTAATAAGTTTTGAAATTGGGAAGTGTTAGTCCTTCAACTTTGTCCTTTTTCAACATTGTTTTGGCTATTCTGGGCCCCTTGCATTTCCACATGAATTTTACGATCAGCTTGCCAATTTATGCAAAAAATCCAGGTGGGATTTTGATAGAGATTGTGTTGAGTCTGTTGACCGATTTGGAGAGTATTGTGATCTTAACAATACTAAGTCTTCCAATTCATGAAAATAGGTATCTTTCCATTTATTTAGATCTTTAATTTCTTTCAACGACATTTTGTAGTTTTCAGTGCACAAGTCTTGCACTTCTTTAGTTATGTTTTGTTAAATTTCTAGGTGTTTTATTTCTTTTGATGCTATTGCCTATGGATTTTTAACATAGATGGGCTCTTATTATGGGTACCATTTTGTATTGGCTCTTTTCTTTTCAATTATATCATAGACATTTCCCCCTAGTTATTAAGAATCTTTCTTCAACATCATTTTTAAGGCTACATATCAGTCCTTGAATGGTTACACTAATTTATTCAGCCATTCTGAAAGGGATATTTAGGTTCTTTACAATTTTTCCATTTTACAAATATTTCTGTAATAAATATTTCTATGCATCCTGCTATGTCTGCATTTCAGATTATTTCCTTATAAGTATTTGTGTATTCTTGTTCTCTCTTAATGGCCTTTATTTCTACTCTTCTGAGGTGTGAGACCCCATGAAATTTCAAATTCCGTGAGGCCCATTCCTCCTCTTTTGCAAACCCACATAGTCCTCAGGGACAGGCCTACAGCCTTGAGGTGGCTCCTTCAGGAAGCTCTCAGGGGTCCTAGACTGGGTCAGGTGCTTCTCATCTTACCCCACAGCACTGTCCTGACCTTGGCATAGTTCTCATCACTCAGCAATATAAATGCCTGGTACCTTGTTATACCTCCAGATCGTGAGGCCCAATAGGACAAGAGGTGGACATTTTTATACCTCTAGCCCTGGGTCTATAGGAGACCCTTAATAAATGTTTATCAAATGAGCAAGTCAGGTAGAACAAGGAGCTCAAGTTTCTAGACCAGACTAGGAATCTTCAGTCAAAGAATTATGGCCACTAGGTATTTGGAGTGGCCTGCAATGTGTGCCACACAGAAATTGTGGGCTGGAAAGGGCCCTTGAGGTTGCCTCATTCAGGAGTTTCCAAACCTCTTTTATGAGCACAATACATAATATTAGATAGACAGATAGATAGATAGATAAATAGGTAGATGGAGTAGAAAAGATGAAGTGGAGGAGATGGTGGAAATTGAAGCCCTGTCTGTGGAATTTTCCCAGTGGCCCAAGAGACCACAGTAAAACCACGTTTGTAAAAATGACTGAACTAGTCCAGTATTTTTTTAAAGACCAGGGAAAGGGTGATCTTGAACGGGAGAAGTCCCTTGTTCAAGGTCATGTAATTAGTGGCAGACTGGGAAAAGGGCTCCGATCTGATTCACAGAACATTCCTCTATTGAATCCAGCCTTTGAGAAGAACCTCAGAATCATCCCACATCCCTTCTGCAGGCATCCAAAATTCCACGAACCAAGATTCAATGTTTAGAGCAAAGTATTGTCCCCATGGAGCATATTTTAAAAGTAAAAATAATTCTACTGAAAAAGACGTAGAAAGATGAGAAGTATGACATACTAAGCAACTGGGACAAGGCTTTACTGTGACATGACGAATTTCCTCTTTGGCTTCCTAGGGGCCGCGACGTTACCAGAAATACCGATGTAGGGAGGGACACGTCTTTGAGGTTTCACTCTTGGGTGGCTCAGTGAAGCCTAGGAACAGTTCGTGGGGAGGGGGCACGTACAACCCCTCTTGCTGACTTCTTTACAGTATCTTCGTTCCCTCCCCTGCTGAATGGATCCTCAGCTTAAAAGGCAAGTCCAAACAGCGTGGCACGTTTTCCGGGATCCTGCGTCTCTCCATGCCCCGCCCCCATCTCCTCCAATCCTACTCAAGGTCCCAACTTGCCCTGGCTAGACTGGGTGCTCTCCGAAGTCAGGGCTCGTGTCTTATGCATCTTTGTATCACCAGTACCAAAGGCGCAGGTCCTGGCACACAGTGGTGAGTTAAACGGTGTTTGATGAACCTACTGAAACCTCTAATCTCTAGGCTTTTATAAATAACTGTCCCGCAGGCTGGGTATTCATCCCCGCAAAATCACCTCAGAGGTGCTACCTCCTTCTCCGCCCCCACGAATCTCTCAGGCGACTCTCGATGCTTTCCTCTAGAGTTTTCCTTCCTCATATTTGTGCCCGGGACTAGCTCAGGGTCTGCAGAGAACAAGTAAGTAGAACACCTCCTGAACCTCCGGAAATAGGCACGCTCCGGAGCAGAGTTTCTATGGCAACCATACAGGCAACCGGGCCTCCTCAGTACAGTTTCTCCTGGGAAGACCGGGACTTTAGTTGCCACGGGCGTCTCTATGGTTTCAACAGCCTAGAAGGACAAAAACGACACTTCCGGGAAGATGGCGGGGCACAAGTCAGATCTGGCACGTGTTTCCGCGGAGAGGACCCTGCAGTAACGGTAAGGGGCTACTGTCTCCTGAATGGTGGCAGTCTGAGCTAGGGCTCAGGAGCAGATGTGAGAGCAGCAGAGCAGTTTTACCCAAGTGAAACTGCGGCGGGGAGGCTGGAATTTAGACCCCAAGAGGAGGCCAGGGGAGGGGGTAGCCGGCTCTTTAGAACCGCTTAAGAAGAGTGGACCTGGGCCACTTCTCCAGAAAACTCAGGGTGACTGGAGAGGTGACAGCTCCTGAAAGCGTGCTCGCAGCTTTCACAAAGACTGCGGCGCACTGCCTGGGACCTAGTTGTTTCTGTCCGCAGTTATCCATTGTAAGTCCGTTAAAGCACTTCCCACCTGTGTCATTCAGTTCAACAAATAACGACTGAACGCAGTCTCGATTCCCGGCTCTGATTAAGTGCACTAGGGTTGACGAATAAAGCCCGTCTCTGATTTCCAGGGCATATCGTTTCAAATTGCTGCTACAGGGATAGGCTGTGGTAAGACTTCACGGCAGAAAGCATAAAGAGCTGTGAGAGACTGAGGAGTGTAGTGATTAAGACCACCAGTTCTGGAATGCCTGAGATCTCAGATCCACCACCTACCAGTTATTTGATTTGGGCAAGTAACTAAGCCTCTCAGTGCCATTTCTTCATTTGTGAATTACACTAATAACATCTCCTTAATAGGGTTGTTGGGAGGATTAAATGAGATAATCTCTGTGAAGCAATTAGCAACAGGCAGGCATTGAGTAAATGCGTAAGTGTTGAATGATGTTGTTGTTATAATTATTGAAATCTGGAGCTGACAGATGAGAGAGAACTGAGAAGAGGCAGAGTTTTGAGGTGGCCTTAAAGGCGTCAGTGTTTGAATTTTACTTCTCTTACAGTATCAAGAAGCAAGATAGGATCATTTCTTCACTCAGTGCTTTTCTCTTGGGATTCTGAAGGTATCAGTTATGTTTTCAGGTAATTGTCCTTCACAGTAGAAATGTGAACAGAAACATAAGTCATTCTGAATTTGCTAGTGTTCACACCTAATCAGACTGGTCATCATTCTTAAGCCTAATATATAACGTTTAGGAGGGGTTACTTAATGATGTGTCTGATGTTTTAAAGCATACTTGCTTAAACACATGTGAAAGTTTTATCCTTCAGAGCTGGCACTTTGGATTACTCCAGTAGTGCCATTAATCAGCTTTCAAAATGGTCTGCGATTCCTGCGATAAATGATCTTAGTACAAGTTAACTTCAGTGAGCCACGTCAGCAGTGGTCACCCTAGTTTTGAATGTCTGTATGATAATCCATCTTAACCATTTCAGAGGCAAATTTGGTGTATAAATAAGTTGGAGACTGCCATTATGGGGGTCCAAGAGGAGGAACATCTGAATGTCTATAAAGAACTCCACCTAGTTGGTGATATCATCAAAAGGGCCACTTCAGATTTGGGCAGCCTAGGCTCGTTCCAGCTCCATCTCTTAGTAGCTGTGTAACCCAGGCAAGAAACCCAGGCTGCTTTCCTTGTTTGTAAATAAGGATAATACCGATCTCAGAACTGTCAGGATTAAATAAGACAATATGATGATATTTCCAGTCCACCTGTTATGCCTTAAATGCTCAAGAAAAGTGCCTTTCTTACGCTAGACAGTTTCAAAAGGGGTGCTCCAAAAAGACTGAAAGACAGCAGCAATGGGGACGAGGTCTGTAGCCCCCACACCGAGGAGACAGTGTAAATGCTGGGCATGGGTATGGGATATGGACTCTGTTAAGTACCGTTATCTTATAACTAAGGTTAACAAGTACGTCATTGCTTTGTTTTTCATGGTAATAATCGTGGGAGATAGTATCATGTAGTGGTAAAGAGTGGAGACTCTGCAGACAAGCGGCCTGGGTTTGAGTTCTGCACACATTAGCTGTGTGACCTTTGAGCAAGTCACCTAACTTCTTTAGGCCTTGGTTTTCTCATTTGTGAAAAAGAAATAATACTTTTCTGAACGTGAAGTTCAGGAATTCTTCCTGGGCTGGGAAGATTAAATGAAATAATCCACGTAAAGCTTTAGCACAGCCTAGCATGTGGTGAGCTCTCCATAAATTTCGGTATTATTATTAATACCAGTTCTCCTTGACTTTTTGACATGTTGATGTTGACCTCTCTGTGGTCAGACAGGGAGCTCCCCAAGGACCAGGCCTCCTTCCTCTGTCTCTGCCGCAGGTTCAGGAAAGAATTCTTATTTGAGCAGTCAGGATGGAGTTGATGGATGACTTGGGCACTCTTCCTTTCCTCTTAAAGGGATGATGGTGACCTCCTCTTCTCTAATGAGGGCCTGAGGACAGTGACTCTTCTCACCATGAGTGTCACCCCGGAGGTCAAGAGTCGTGGGATGAAGTTTGCTGAGGAGCAGCTGCTAAAGCACGGATGGACTCAAGGTGATCCCCGTGGGGCCCCTTCCACATCCTGCCAACTCCCTGCCTACTGCCCAAGGGAAAGGCAGCATCCTGGATTACCCCCATGTGGTCCATTCAGTTGGAGGAGGAAAAGCGAGTTTAAAGGGAAATTTGCAGAAGAAAATTTCTGACTCTTCCAGAAAAGGGAAGAATGGAAGAAATTTGACAGTGAATAGTGAGAAAGAAGTGGCTGGGAGGACTGGGAGAGGGAGAAAGTGACATGACCTCTGTCCTGAAAGAATTATGAAGGAAAAGATAGTCTGGGCTCAGACAGAGGCAGGGGGAACTGCCCGGAGTGGGCTTCCAAGAGGGACAGGGCTTGCCCAATGCTAGGTGTGTGGAATGGCAAGCAGTGGCATGTGTTGGGGGTGCCATGTGAGGGCTGGGGGCAGGCAGCAGAATAAGCCGAGTCACTCACTGTCTTCTGCAGGCAAAGGCCTGGGCCGGAAGGAGAATGGCATCACCCAGGCCCTCAGGGTGACACTGAAGCAGGACAATCATGGGGTAAGACTGGACAGGCTGAGGGAGGTCAGTGTGGACGGGAGAGAGGAACCCTTGAGGATGGGGGGGGAAGGGGACAGGTCCTGAGTTCATACTTCTTCCCCTGGCAGGTGGGACACGACCCTGCCAAGGAGTTCACAAACCACTGGTGGAATGAGCTCTTCAACAGGACTGCGGCCAGCCTGGTAGTGGAAACTAGGGAGGTATGAGCTCTAATAGATGGGCACATGAAACATGAGGGCCTGGGACCCATGGGGGGAGGGAGACATGGCACGTCACCCACTCACTGATACTTCCCCACAGGATGGAGTACAGATAAGGCGCCTTTCTAAGGGGACCACCCATCGTAATCATCCCAAGCCCAACTTGCTGTATCAGAAGTTTGTGAAGGTATTAGAGGCTGCGGGTGAGAGGGTCCATCCTTTTTTCCTTCCCTGGTCTCCCCTGGGGCCTGAACAATTGCCTTGTATGCCCTACCTGTTCTCAGGACTGTCCTAACATAGTGGAATCCCGTGACCGACCTCACTGTTGCTTCCTTAGACTGCCCAGACCCTCAGCAAGAATGGCAATCTTCGGGTTGCATGGATCCCTGCCATCTGCTGATGGGGCAGCAGTAGGGAGTGGGAGCAGGGACACAGTCAGGAGGTGCTAGGGCAGGGCAGGGAGCGGGTGTCTAATTGAGAGGACTCAGAAGCCAGGAGAGACCCGAGAGATCATCTGGCCCATCCTCCTTATTTTGCACACGTGGCCAAAAGTGGGGCAAGTGTCTTGCTGTAGAGCCCATGGCTGGCTAGCAGTGGCAGACAAGACTAGAAGCCAGGTCTTCAGACTCCTGCTTCCAGCATACCAAGAGACGGGAGCTGACATTTACTGATCATCTGTATGTGCTAAGGGCTCCACATGTTATCTAGCAAATCTGTCCCATTTCTCTTCATCTCTCTGGCCATCTTCTACCCTAGTTCAAACCATCATCTCCTGCTTAATTTCTTTCACAGCCTAGTAACCAGACTCCTCACCTCTAGTCTTACTCCCCACCCCAATCCTCCACAAAGCATCCAGTGTTCTCGCTAAAACACGTTTCATTGTCACTGGCTCCTTTTTGACTTAGGATGACACTGTCTAGATTTATCAGACTGGCTCCTGTGGCCCTTCATGCCCATCCCTGCCTTCTTCTCTAGCTTCATCCCTTGCCACTTCCCTCAGGACCTCTACACTTTGGCCAGATGGAATCTGATTCTTTTCTTTGAAGGTACCATTTTCTTTCACCTTCACGTTTTTGCACATGCTATTTCCCCTGCCGGGGACACACTGCTCCCTTTCCCCCTCTATCTGCTGACTTTTTCTTGTCTTCCAGAGCTCAGCTACTTCAAGAACCTATTCCCCAAACCCTGCAGTCCAACTTGGGTACCTTTCCTTTAGCACAGGCAACACTTGCATCACAATTGCCTCTGTTCTGCCATCGTCCTTTCCCCCTCATCATGTCGATTCCATCTGGGCTGGACCCCTCTCATTCTTGTTCCACTCTGCATCCCCAACCACTTGGCCCATAGGTTGTCAGTTAATCTGGTTAAATAAAGTAGTGTGCATAGGTATGGGGGTGTGAGAAGTGCCATCTTTATTGTCAGATGGCCACCAGGGGGCACTTGTCCCACTGTGAAGACCTGATGACCTAGAGCACTTCTTCCTCCCTTCTTTTGCCCACTAGCTATTGGTGAGCCAGGGAGGCCCCACCCCCCCAGGCAACTGCCGCCCACTTCCTGCCCAAGTTGAAGTATGCAGTTTGGCACATCTCTCTGAGGGTCTGTAAGGAGTGACATTGGGGGCTGGCAAATTTGTGTCTATGCCTAAATTCGTGGGGGACTTCCAGGAGGGAAGGGGGATGGCAGTGGTGTTTCGTGGGCCTTGTCCACCCCCATAATCCCTCCTTCTAGACGGCCACACTGACTTCAGGTGGGGAGAGGCCAGACAAGGACTCGGAGAGCTGCAGTGATGACGACAACCAGGGGCCCGAGCCTCCAAAGATGTGAGACTTCATTTTAGCGCTGGGGGCACGTGGGAGGAGATGTCTTCAAATCTCAAGACAAAGGACCAAACCTAATGCTTGAGTGTGGGTTTCTTTGGGGTGGAACCATGCGTACTAATCTTTGTATCCCCAACACCTAGAAAAGTGCCAGGTCCTGAATAGGAACTCAGTGTAAAAGGAATGTTTTAGAGGGGAGGAGAGGTCCAGCCTTTCCACCAGATCTGTTTGTAATTCCTGATCTCCCCGTTCTCCCAACAGTCTGACCGATGAGATGCTGCTCCAGGCCTGTGAGGGGCGAACAGCACACAAGTAAGTAGTGTTTAGCTCCTTGGGCTCCCTTTTCTTCCCATCCCAAGCTCACCCTTGAGGAGGGCCTGTGCCTAGGGAAATGATTCCTACTGTCTGCCCATTGCTGAAGCTGCCTGAAGAGAGGCAGCTCCTCCCCTACCAACTTTCCCTCCAGTCTCAAGGATTAGGCATATTTTCCCTAATATCTCGCTCTGACCTTGGCCCCATCTGTTTCAGGGCTGCCCGTCATGGGATCACGATGAAGGCTAAGCTTGCTCGGTTAGAGGCCCAGGAGCAGGCCTTCCTGGCTCATCTCAAAGGCCAGCACCTTGGGACTCCTCACCTGCAGTCTGAGAGCAAGCCCCCCCAAAAAAAGAAAAAGAAAAGGAAGCAGAAGGAGGAGGAAGAGGCTACAGCAACTGAAAGGAATGCAGAAGAAGAGTACCCAGAACACACTGATCAGAGCATCAGGAAAAGCAAGAAGAAGAAAAGACATCATCAAGAAAAGGTCTCAGAGGAGAGAGAGGGAACAACCATAGGGAATGAGGAAGAAGAGGACGCAGGAGCAAGTGGGCCTGGGGAATTGAAGAGCAGAGAACATCAGTCTATCAGGAAAAGGAAGAAGAAGCAGCACCATGAAGAGGAGGAGGAAAAGGCTGCAGGTGCGGTCAGGACAGAGGAGGAAGAGAGCAGAGCATACCCTGACCCACATAGCACAGGCAAGAAGAGGTGGCAGCATGAGGAGGAGGCGGCTGTTACAGGTGGTGGGACCAGGGAAGCAGAAGGCAGAGCATGTGGCGATCGGAAAAGCAGGAGAAGTAAGAAGAAAAGACAGCGGCATCAGGAGGAGGAGATCTTGGATGTAAGGGATGAAGGAGATGAGGAGGATGGCAGGACTGGGGAAGTGGAGAGCACTAGCTCAAGCAGCAGAAGTAAGAAGAGGCGGTGGCAGCAGCCAGAGGAAAGAGCTGGAGGCAGCACTGACCAGAGAGCAAAAAAGAAGAAACAGAAGAAGAGAGACTGACGGTCAGGTCAAGGTGGGGCTCAATCGATTCCTCTTCAGGAGTTGAAGCCTCAGAGACCTGAGTCGGTGCAGGCCTTCTGCACCCTCAGGGAGGAGTCCCTCCCAGGGAGGAAACAGCTCAGGAACACCAGTCTGCTGTGAGAGCAGTAGCACCATGCCTTAGGTGAGGGAACGGGCAGGGTCCCCTCTGCAGCTTCTAACCCAGAGAGCGTCAACTCAAGTGCCTATTTCAGGGCTGCCCATCTTGGGATCACAAGGAAGGCTAAGCTTGCTCGGTTAGAGGCCCAGGAGCAGGCCTTCCTGGCTTACCTTGGCAGCCAAGGGACAAGGAGTGCTTAGGGCTGTGGGAACAGAAATGCAGATACCCTTTGAAGGGGCATCCTTGCTATAAGAAGCTGAAAATGTAGACTTATGTGAAATGTAATGGTATCTAAATATTGTGAAGGCTAAGAAAAACATACACATTTAGGTCTCTGGGCTGCAATCAGCCCATAGGTTGCCAGTTTCTAACACTATACCAAATGATTGCATAAACATCAGCTTGGGCTCCTGTCTATAATAAAGTCCTGACTGGCATCTCCGTTTCCCAGTCTGGGAACATCCTGAATACAAAGTAGAGTTTCCTTGGACTCCTTTGAAGAAATGCCTTCTGTTAACCTCCTGTCATCTTGCTACTCTGTTAAGCAGAAGGAGAAAGCTTAGAGAACCTCCTTCAGCTCCCTGTTTCCCTAATGGGTAAGAGTCTCGTGTGGGTAAAGGAGAGCACACCCCACTTGGGAGCCTCTTTCAGCATCTGAAAGTCAGTTTTCATTGTCCCCAATGCCAGAGCAACCTCTCTTGCCTCTTCTGTTCCCCTAGAGATATGGCACCTCGTCTCCAGTGTTGCTTTCTGGCTCCCGCCACCCATTAACCTTTATTGCCGGAAGAGCTCCCAGGACGCCACAGTTCTGGGAGAGAGAGGCACTAAGTCTTTATTGGGAAGAATGCCCACCCACCTTCCCTCATTGCAGACGATAGACACACTCAGTGTCAGGGTAGGGTGGCAGATTCAGCTGGTACTTCTTTTCCAGAGCAGGTGGCACGAAACGACCCCCCAGGTAGTGGTAGCGACCAGTAAAGTGGGTTGCAGACTTTTTGGGTGCTGTCAGGGAGATGAGCAAATCTGGCTGGATCCCTCCAGAGTTTCCTTTCTCCACATCCCAGCCTAAAAAGAGGGTGGTATTCAGGAAGAGCAGAAGAGGCCAGATGTCTGGTCTCCTTCCATACTTTCCCCTAGTCCTAAAGAAGTGGGAAGCTCCTCTGTGTTCCCACCTGAGGAACTCGCATCCTTGCAGCTCCACGTACCCCTGTGCTTTGGTCTCTTGGAGCTAATGTGTGAAGGGAACTCCTGAAGTCTTTGCTCCCCAGCCCTACTGTGGGATCCATAGGCTGTGTTCTGCCCCTCTAGACTCAACTCATTTTAGACTTGGTCTGAGCCTTGGGTCAACAATCAGGACTCCTAGGTACCTACCTCAAGACAGGGCAGGGCCCCAATCCCCCCAACCTCCTTGGACCCAGCACCTGAGGGAATGTCGATGCTGGCAATGGGCACAGTGAGTCCATTCAGGACACTCAGGATGCTGCGAAATGGCTCCCGAACGTCACCCTTGAAGCTGAAGCCAAAAATGGCATCTACGACCAGCTCATAGAGTTCATCAATCAGCATGGACTGTGGTGGAACAGAAAAAGGGAAGGATGCAGAGCCAGCAGCTGCACAAAGAGCCATTAACAGAAGAGGGTTGTCCTCTGCACCCACAGACTATTCAGAGAGGCACAAAGGTAATTTTCTCTCATTCAGATGGCACTCTGAGGCCTACAGTTAAGTGCAAGTTGGTCACTGATCCAGGCCAAGCTGAGTCCAGACACATTTTCTGTTCTGAGTGCCTGCCAGCCATTGGGGAGGCTACAGTGTGGGACAGCCTGAGACTGGGAGTCAGGAGGGCCATGATCTGGTTCTGTGACTTTGGACAAACCACTTCTCTGCACCTCAGTCTCTTCATCTGTAAAATGTGTTAAGAAATTTAAAAAAACAAAACAAGTTCTCAATTTCCCACCCCTAAATCCATGCATCTGCAGAAAGGGTCAAGGATGAGGCAGTCACTTCAGCCCCTAAAAGGGGCAGATAATGTGTTTACTGCATGCTGGAGGCAGAGGAACTGACTAGAGGGAAAGGAGTGCCCAGGGGAGATGAAGGGGACAAGAAGCTTTAGAGAGGGGGTGTTGGGACTCCGGGAGCACACCTTGAGGAGGAGAAGGCTCTTACACTGCTTCTATTCACAGAACATACTTCAGGCACCTTCTGTGCCAGACACTATCCCTACCCTGTAAGAGCTTATTGGGTAAAGAGGAAGATAAATGAGCGCAGCCTGGAAACGAGGGAAGAGCAGAACACAGGCAGTGGTTATTGTGGAGGAGGCCACTAAACTGGAGCCACCTACCTCTGGGGGCATTTCACCAAGGAAAGGGATGTCCATTTTCTGACACTGGGTCACCAGTGCAGTGAAGAGTGGCTTGTTAGGCCTTTTGGGGTAATAGATGGTTGGCTGGTAGCCCTACGAGGAAAGGAAAGGGGTAATTCAAGCCCAGATCCTAGAAACCTCACGCCCACCCCCCCACAGCCCTTCCCCAAATACTTACAAAGAGTTTGAGGTGTCGGGCACAGACCAGGCCATCTCCTCCATTATTCCCGGGGCCACAGACGACCAGGACAGTAGGGGGGCTCCTGGACATGGACGTTGGGGGATAGGCCTGAAGGCAGAATCAAAGGGGATTCAGAGGGGTTTTGGGCACTAAGAGCCCAGGCTTGGTCCAGCTTACCCTCCCACTCCGTTGTGCCTAGGCCAGGGGGCTTGCACAGTGACTCGTCCCAAAGGTCGAGAGTTGCACCACTGACCTTGGCAATGGCTGTGGCGCAGCTCAGCCCAGCCAGCTCCATCAGTTGGTCCACGCTGAACTGGTACTCGTTAAAAAGCTCCTCGTCCACGGCCTGGGCCTCCTCCTGGCTGAGGAAAGCCACAGCCTGAGTCCCCGCCCCGCCGCGCAGCAGTGCCGCCCCGGCCCCGCCCCCGGGAGGACAGCAGGCCAACCCCGTCCCGTGTCCCGCGTGCCCGCCCGCAGCCTCGCCTACCTCAGGTACTTCACCCCCGTGCTCGCCATGATCCCTGCGTCCCCGCGGCCGCCCGAGCTCAGGCGCCGCGGCTCCCACCACGTGGGTCCCGTGCGACAGACGCCGGCCTGGACTCTGACGCGCGACAGGCGCGAGCCCGCAACCAGCAGCCCGAGCCCCAGCAGCGTCCGCAGCCCGGACATCCAGCTCGCAGAGCGCGCGCCCCCGACCCGGCCTCCCGCCCTAGCGCATGCGCGGCTCCTCGCCCCGCCCCCGAGAGGCCGGGCCCTCGCGCCCCTGCCGGAAGCGGTCCTGGCGCGGGCGCCGAGCTGGTGTTTTCTTCCGGCGCTTAGAGCCTGCGTCCCAGCCCTTCCCGAGAGTATGTACGTATTGCCTCACACGTCCAGGTGGACCAGGAGCGCTTTGCTCTCAACCGCCCTTTGACGATAGTTGGTCACGTTTAGCATGGCGGGTAACCTGGGGCCCTGCCCTCCCACTTGCTAGCTGAGTGAGCTTGGACGCTCTTGGTTTCGATTTCCTGTCGGTGAAACGGGAATACTAGTACACACTTCACAGGGTAGTAATGCATGTAAAGCCGTCGACAGCGCCTCGTGCGTAGAGCACGATAAATTAAGCTAATTTTTTTTTACACTACTGTGTTTTGTATAACTTCGGACCCCTCTTCCCACTACGTTAGTTTCCCCTCTTTACCGGGATAGCACGCCATATTCTCTAATCATACATAATATTTATCCCTCTTTATGGAGATAGAAAATTGTAAACTCTAAATAGGTTGAATATGCCATGGTTAAAAATGTGGTTGAAACCATAGACTCCATGTCACAAAAATATTTCAAGAAAAACCTGGAGAGAAAGACTTAAATTTTTTACCCAAGACACACTCTTGTAGGGTTAAGGGAGAAGTCTGCAGAATAACAAACCAGTTACCATCAAGGCACTAAAATGAAAATGAGTATCAAGGTGGGGTGAAGGTCCTGTTTTTATGCTATATTTATTCTTTTTCTGTTTCATGAATTGCATTCCTGGCTAGTTCACTGAGAAAGGCAAGAACAAGCCCTGCTTTTAACTACTACTCTGATGTCTCCTTTTTAATTATAGGAGGTTTCTCATTTCCTATAAGATATACCCTTAGCCTCCAGCTATGCTTGTTTTACATGTTTGTTGTGAGAAATTCAATTTATCGGACTGTGATTGTGGTGGAAAATTGTTTTTGTTAGACTGTGTTTGTGGTTGGAAACAGTTTATTCATCTAAATTGTAATGTACGGTGTATGTTACAACTGGATAATCTTATCAAAGGCCTCATTAACTTTGTTTTATAACTTCACTAGTATATAAGCAGCTTCACTTTTATATATTAGTCAAGTCAAGACTCCCTTCAGGCCTATTTGAGAAGATAAGTTTGGTGATTATGAAGATTCATTTCTAAAATGCGATGTGAAGTGTGTTTCTTTGACATAAATAACATTTTGAATACTTATATGTGCCAAGTACTAACGTGAATCATTTCATTTTATCCTCACAGCAACCCTGTTGTTATTCCCATTTTACAGATGAGAAAACTGTCTCAAAGATGTTGAATGGCATGCCTAATGATACAGTGATAGCTGTAGGTGAAGCTAGGATCCAAGTAGCTTGACTTAGAGTCTGCGCTCTGAAGTGTTATTTTATACTGAACTGCCCTCCCCAAATGCAGAAATATGTAATTAAAGGGATGTTGCTGCTAGCATTTTGATGAGGTGTAACTATAGAATAGTAACACAAAACATATCCCACCACACACACCCAGAATTTATAAAACAACCAAATAAGGGCTGTCCCCAGGAAGGCAGTGCCCAAGATCTAGTCCACCTTGTTGCTGCTGCCTTTCTGACGTTTGGAGTTTTCTTGGGGAAATGTCTTCAAAACCCCTTTAGGAAGGGCACGTGGATGGAGCGCCTGCTGAGTTCCAAATGCGTTACATATGTTATCTAATTTAATCCTGTTGATCCTGTGATGTATTTTTATCTTCGTGTTATAGATGAGGAAATTGAATAGCAGAGAGAAGTCACGTAATTTTCCTAAGATGATACAGCTATTAAATGGTAGAGCCAGTGATGGTTGATACTGGGTTGACCTGACCCAGTAGCAGTACTCCTGTGTGGCAGATGCTGCTACTTGTCCCTCAAAATCCATCCTCCTTTCTTCCTTTGGTAACAGAACCCCTGAGTTTTATCTGGCCACATGGCTGCCCAGCTAAACACTACATTTTCCTTCTCCCTTGCAGCAGCTAGGCATGCACCCATAGCTAACTTCTGACCAATTAGATGTGAGCAGAAATGATATATGCAACTGTGAGGTCATACCTTAAAAAAATGAACGTTTTCCTCCACTTCCTCTTTTCTTCTTATTGGCTGGAATGAAGGTATTACGGCTGAAGCTGGAGCAGCCATTTTAGACCATGAGATGGAAATCCTGTATTGAGGATGGCAGAGCATTCTGCCTGACTCCCCAAGCTCTATGGAGCCATTAAATCAGCCCTGGGCTGTTTATATGAGAAAGGAATAACGTTCTCTCCTTTTAAAGGCACTGTTATATCAGTCTTTCTTACAGCTGGTGAACTTGCATCCAAATCAAGACATCTTGAATGCCTGACAAGATAATAAGCTCCATTTAGATAAGGAAGATTGACAGCTGTGTCCCCAGCACCTAGTTCCACGCTTGGCATATAGTAGGTGCTCATAAATATTTTAATGAATCTTCAAAATCTCATTGTGAAGTGGTTCACAGTACAGTAGCCCTCTTATCTGACATGATCAAGAGTGGATTATTTTATTTCAACTTAAAACAACACATTCATGGGGCTGGCCCCGTGGCCGAGTGGTTAAGTTCGTGCGCTCCACTGCAGGCAGCCCAGTGTTTCGTTGGTTCGAATCCTGGGCGCAGACATGGCACTGCTCATCAAGCCACGCTGAGGCAGCGCCCCACATGCCACAACTAGAAGGACCCACAACGAAGAATATACAACTATGTACCAGGGGGCTTCCGGGAGAAAAAGGAAAAAAATAAAATCTTTAAAAAACAACAACAAAAAAAACCACATTCATTTGCCATCTGTCAAAGTGTGGTCAGGGTCTTTTCTTTGAGGATGGGGCCAATGATTGTAATTCTCCATCTTTCTTGCATAAACCTCACCAGTTATGTATCACCTGCAATTTCCAGTTTGCCTCCTTAAGGTGGAACAGACAGTTAATGGCATGTTTGAAGCGAGCTGAGTGTAAAATTCATCTAGATTTTTATTATTTTCCCTCAATCTGTAATAATCTTCCTGCTCACACTAATTCAACGGCAGTTTTTAAAGTGACTCACCTTAATCAAGTCTTCTAAGGATTCAACTTAGTTTTCATAGAAACAGTGCTTGTTTTCACACACTTAGTTCATTCATTTGTATAGTATTTAATTAAATTACAAATTACAATCACACATACAACCAGCATAAACACATTTGGTATCAAACGTAACCGGCTCTTGGTAAGCAATGGCTTAACTGGGGGAGTGGAACTGCATAGCATTCTGGAAGGTGCTCACTGTCTCAGTTTGAATCCTGGCTTCTCCACTTACTAGTGTGTGACCTGGGAGGACAGACTACATAACCTTTGTGCCTTCTCCTCATCTGTGAAAGGGGATAATAATAGCACCTCATAGGCTAGTGGTGAGGGCTAAAGGAGAAAACCCTTGTGAAACACTTGGAACAGTGTGTGGCAGGGACTAAGTGATCAGTAAATGTTACAGACTCTCTTTGTTGTGGCTGCTGGCAGCAGTTGTCCTCCAGGCTACAGGCTTGGGGTCCCGCAGCAGCATCCCTGCATCTCACGGAGGAAGCTGGGTGCATCAGTTGGTTAAGATGCATCTTCTGTAGTATCATGGCCCCATTTCTCATATGAGAAAATGAGGTCCAGAGAGAGTCAGTGACTCCAAAGCCTCTTGACCAGAAGCCTGTTTTAAGAACTGGCAAGGGCCTTAGCAGTCATGAGGTTTGGATCCAGAAAGAAAAGGGGAAAATTCACTATCCATCTTCCTTTTAACTTTTTCCTATTGAGTCCAAAACTCCCAGTGAGGAGCAAACTGAACACCTCTGTGCTGAGCCCGTAGAGCTCACTTGCTGACCATGTTGGGTTCCACGTCCATACAGCGCTGAACAACTGGGAAAGAGGCTCAATCCCAGGAATCCCTGCCATGTGTATGTTGGGGAGACACCGCAGGGGCCAGGGCCACGGCTAGGAGGATGGGCTCACATGATCGTGCAGAAGCCAGACTTGGTGGATCTCCTCTGAGGGTTCCTGCTGGGGGTTTCCTTGGGCCCTTTGAGTGACCTGAAGGAGGCAGAGAGGGGCTTGCCGTGGGAGGGACTGGGGAAGGAGCAGAAGGCAGCCTGCTCTGGCTCCAGCTTCTGTTGCCCTCTGGCCCTTACCTCTGCTGGTGGGCTCCAGGGCAGGAAGGAGTGGGCTTAAGCTGCATATCCCCCCATTCAGCAGGACTCCCCCTTTCTCCGAGGCCCACAGTCAGGCTGTGTTGGAGGCAGGGAACAACCCTGGATGAGGGTTGTTCAGATTGCTAGCAGGCAAAGACAAGGAGGCTCGGAGCACTACATCCCTAGTGACCAGACCACATCTCCCTCCAGCTTTAACAGTAATCATGTTCTGTTAAAATCATCCAAAGCCATGCCTCTCCTACTTTGTTTATCCATTCCCCAGGCCTCTTCCCCTCCCCTAGGGACCCACCTATTGGCTTGGGGACCATTAGGTGCCAGAATGCCAGGATACTTCATTTGGAGGGGGCCTTGGCCTCCAAATGGGACATGGGCCCTGGGTCCTGGACCTGGATGGAGAGGGACAGACACATTCATCACAGGCCTCTCTGCACCAAGAACCATCACAGTAGAAAAGAGAAAGCTTTGGGAAAACAAAGAGAGTGGGGGTTAGGGGATACATTGGTCACTGTACACGGAGGGGGCCCCAAGGACTGTGCCATGTATGGGGCAGATGCTTGGCAAACCTGGGCCAACTAGAGGCTAGACTGTGGGAATGAATCACCAGTGCCTGGAAGAAAACACACTGCAAAGAAGACATCAGTGAATTCAAGTCAACAAGTAGCAAGCAACTCTGCCCCCAGAGTCCAAAGCCTTTCGGGGAGGAGAGTAGTAAACAGTGAGCCAGGGTAGGAAAAGTGCCCAGTGCCCAGGCACACAGTAGGCTTCCAACAAACCCTAGTGCTCTAAGATGCAAAGTTCTGGAAGTTAGGAAAGCCGTGGAAGCAGGGAGGAAGAGGGGATTCAGGGAAAATGGGCCAGGGCCTTGAGAGAGGAACAGAAACTGGGGAAGGATGATCTGGGGCTTGGGACCCTGGAGAGCTGGTGGGGCAAGCCTCAGCATCAGGTCTGATGCTGAGACCTGGGCACGGGGGCAGGGGGGAACAGTAAGGGAAACGGGGATGGGGCTGAGGAGAGTGCTTCTGTTTTCAGGGAGGAGGAGCACACCAGGGACTTCGACTCACACTCCAGTCCCTGCGCCCAAGATGACTGCATGGAAATATTCACCGACCCCTCTTCCTCTTTCTCCTCATGGCCCTCCTCTAACTCTTCATCTTCCCACCCACCCGAAGATCTGTAGGGGTAGAGAACAGGGGACAGAACAGCTCCCTGGAGGTCCCACCCCTACACCCAACTTTGACACCTCCCAACACCCTCCAGAGCCACATCCATCCCGGAAGCTCCACCCTCATCCTTCACCTGTGCTGCGCTTCTGCTGTGCTCCATCCCACCCTGGCGGGGGTGCCGACCGCCGGGCAGATCCCACCTGGAGCCTGAGGCCTCTGTGGAGCCGAGGTCTGAAGATGAAGGGGAGTAAAGGGAATCAGTTTGAGAAAAATGCCCATCCCAGCTGTGGATGTGTGTTAGAGTGTATGTTCCCTCTAGACACAGTGGCCCCAGAGAGACGGAGAAGTGCCAGACAAACTGGGGTGTGCTGCTTGTCTGAGAATGAAATTGTGGGGCAAGGCCCTTTGTTCTGTTAAGGTCCCACTAGTAACTCAATTTAGAACTCAAGCTCAAGGACTAGCAGACCTGGCCAGAGCCCGACCACCACCCCATCCTGCCTGGGCCCCCAGGGACAAAATCACAGAAAGTTGGTGGATGACTTCTGATGGAACCCAGGTCTTCTGACTCCACCCCCCATCCAGTCCTCTGCCTGTACCAGGCTAATTTAATTTCGCTTGCAAATTATTAACGTGGTATCCTAGACTTTAAAATAAGAGAGGATGTAAAACCTATTACATAAATATAATAAAGTATAATTTCAATTCCTGGGGTGGGAGGCTGCCTGAGGGTATCTCACAATGTGAGGGAGGAGGCCGTTGGAGAGACATGGCCTGTTGGGATGGGCTGGGAGGTAGAGAGAGGGTAAGATGGAGTCCAAGAGAGGGGCATGGTGGAGACCCACAGAGAAATGGCCCCCAGAGAACCGCAGGTGGGAGAAAGGGACTTCCTTGCAGCACTGTCCCCATCCTGTGGCCCTTTCAGGAACTGCAACCAAGGCCTTAAAACTTTCCACCTCCTCCGAAGTACTGCTCAGGATCCTTGGTTGCACCCCGTGGCCTCCACCCACTGGGTTAGTCACCACTCAGCCAAAGCTCTGGCACAGCCCTAGTGTTGGAGACGTGCCACAGTCCCCAGCCCACCTCCCCACCCCCAAGTGGCTTCGGGAAAGTGATATATGTCCCATAAGCAGGCCCCAGAGCAGATGAACACAGATGAGCAGTCAAGCGCAACATCCCTGAGGACATTGGCTCTTCTTACCACCACCCGCTTCTCTGGGTAACCTCTCCCCACCCCTTACTCTGTCTCAGGTGTCATCTCACCAGGGTGTGAGTTGGGACCAGCCCACCCCGGGCCAAGTAGATCCTCATGGTGTCTGTCAGCTTGGCCACCAGCCGCTCTCGCACAGAATCTGGCTCCTTCTGGGGACAGGGTGGATAATGGGGTAAAGGGGAAGGCCTGGGTTTTGTGGTCCTCTGGGGATTGGGGAAGAAAGAAACAGGAAAGGGAGGAAGGAAGGGGGTTTGTCTCCCCTTCTTCTACCTCATCCCTGTGCCTTTGACAGGGTCCTGCCACTGCCTGCCCAGGGGACAGAGACGGACTCTCCCTCACAATAGTGTCATGAGACCTAGCACACCCTGTGCCCAGTGCATGTCTGATGAGTGGATGAATGGTGGGGAGAAGACAAGGAGTGAAGGCAGGAGTGTCAGCTGGAAGGAGAGCAGGGACATTAGATTCCGGGACAGAGGGTCTCACCTGACACCGGGCCAGTGCTTCCTGATAGTACTTCAAGGCCTGATCATGCTGCCCCAGTCTGGCTGCAGCAGCCCCCAGACCCTCACAGGCCTGCCACTGCCCTTTCACGTCCCCTGGGGAAGAGAGCCTGAGAGGTCCTCTCCTGGTTCCCTGCCCCACTGACCCTCCCCTCCAGAGGTACTCCCCAGCCCCAAGTCCCCCCATCTGCCTCTCCACCAACCCCGAGGACCCTCAGCCTTTGCCCACCCCCAACCCCCAAGCCACCTGCTACCCCCTCACCCTCACCAGTGTCCCGGGCAGCCTGCAGAGCATGCAGGTAGTTGTCTCTGGCGGCTTTGTGGTCCCCCAGCTGGCTCAGTGCAAATGCCAGGCTGCCAAAGCTCCGGCCCTGCTCCCACCGCTGCCCCATGGAGCCTGATGACAGAGCCCGGCCCACCCTGAGAGGGGGCCTTGGCTGCTGGGGCATCCAGACCCTACCCCCCAACCACCAAGGGAGGGTCCCAGGAGTCCTGGTGCTCAGCCCCAGCACACCGCCAGATGCTCCACAGAGGCCTGAACTGTCCACACCCAGCCTCTCCTCAGTCCTGAGTTTTGGCCTGACTGCCTCCCCCTGGCTAGTTGGAGCCATGCAACAACCCTGTGAGGCAGGCAAGGCAGATATTAATAGCTCCATTTTTATACGTGTGGAAACTAAAGCTTAGAAAGCAAAAATGACTCGCTGAGTATCACACCGTCATTCAGTCAGAGGAGGCACCGGGCTCCACATCAGGTTCCTTTTCCCAGCCAGTGCCCTTCCCTGTGCCCATTGCTGCCTTTCCAACCCCAGGCTTCAGCCTCTGGGCCCACAACCCTCTGTCCTGTCTGGCTGTCCTATCTCCTGCACCTGCCCCCTGGTGGTGGGCTTCCCGGCCCCATAACTAGTCCTAAAGGTCCATCTACTCTTCAGCCTTGAGGCCCTGCTGGAACCCCCTCTTAGACCCTTGGACCGATTCCCATTCCCCAGCCCCTGGTACCCACCGTGCAGGTCGGCAGCCTTCTGGTGAAGCTCCCGCGCTTCCTGATAGTTGCCAAGGGCGTTGTGGGCCATCCCAAGGTTTCTTAGCACGGTGGCCTCCTCTCCTGGCCCCCGGCACAGGGGCAGGGCCTGCACAAAGGCCTCTGCTGCTAGCGGGAACAGCTGGAGCTGGGAGTAGCCCAGGCCTAGGTCATTATAGAGTTGCCCTAGAGGGCACGGCCAGGGTCACTGGTGGCCAGGGCAGATGCAGCTGAGGCTGTACTGGTGCAGCCCCTGTCCTACTCTCCCAGGGCTCCCCCAGCGCTTTCCCCAGCCCTCGAAAATGCCTCTGCTTCCACCCTCCTCTCAGAGTATCACCAGGTCTGAATCTCCCCACACGCCACACCTTCTCTGCCCAAAGGCCTCACCCAGCAGCCCCTGCTCGGTGCTCCTCTCGGCAAGCCTCCAGCTCTCCTCCAGCACTTGCACCACTTCACCCACCCCATGCTGCCCGCTCTTCAGCATACACCCCGCCGCAGCCCCCAGTGCGAGGGCTGCAGCCCGGGGCTGCCCTGCTTGGGCATAGGCCCGGCTTGCTTCCTGCAGGCAGTGGGCTGCTAGCTCAGGCTGTCCCAGAGCCTGGTAGCAGGCTCCCATTTTTGCCTGGGCTTGCCCCTGGTCACCGAGTGGTTGGTAGTGGCCCAGGGCCTTATGGTACCAGGCCAAAGCTTGAGGCAGGTCACCCAGGGCATGGTAGGCCAAGGCCACATTGAAACACTGGTCGCCATGACACCTGCCCTGCACCTTCTCTTCAGGTTGGGCTCGCAGGAGCAGCTCAAGGCCTCTGGCTGGGTCCCCAGTCTCCACATAGGCAGCCCCCAGGTTGAAGGCACAGGCCCAGAGAACAGGAGTATCCCTTTTTCGTGGGGCCTTCAAGGCCAGGAGGAAGGCCCTTTGGAAGCTGATCAAGGCCTCATGGTTCCTGCCAGCCAGTAGGGCCCCGTGGCCAGCCTTAGTGAGGGTTTGGATGCTGGCCTCTTGCTGTGGCCACTTTATTTTCTTCTTTTTCTTCTTGGAGCTTGAGGGCTCAGGCTCTTGGCGGGTATCCTCAGGGTTGGGGGAAGACATAGTGCTGACAACGGGGAACAGAGGGGTCAGTATGTCACCTTTGGCTTCCTCCAAAGCAGGATCCCTCAAGGACAATTCAGCTCTACCTGTGCCTGATGTGACCCTCAGGGTTTCAAGGATTTCATTCTACATCTCAATTTGCTTCATCTATCCCATTACGCCCAACTCTCCTTCTAATATCCCAACTAATTCTCATTCCTCCTTCAAGACTCAGTTCAACTGAGAGCTTCCTTCAGAAAGCCCCTCCCCTGAACCAACTGACTCCTTTACTCCCATAGCATCTTATGCCTATGTCTTTTATGGCATTTATCAACCTGGGTTAGAATTGCTGACTTTCATGTCTATCTCCCTTACTAGATTTGCGGTGACTTGAAGGGTCTGGCACATAGTAGATGCTCAATAAATGTTTATTGAATAAGATGAAACAGTTCTGGAGATAGATAGTAATGATGGTTCTAAGCAATGTGAGTATTAGTGCCACTAAACTGGAGACTAAAAAATGGTTTAAAATGGTTACTTTTATGTTATATATATTTTACCACAATAAAAATGTTCATTGAATGAATAAATGAATGGATGAATGAACAGAGCACATACAGAGCCTCTCCATCATCATCTTCACACTGTGACTCCACATGCACCCATCCACTCATAATCTAGTACTCCTACTGTCTAATCTCAAGATATAGCTCAAGTCAGTTCAACAAATACTCAGTGAGCTCCTGCTATGTGCCAGGAGCCATACAAGGTACTGGGGGCACAAAGTTGAATAGGCTATTGAAATGGCAAGGAGCCAACTTGCAGGAGCGAGGATTCTGTCTCTCCATTTACTGCCCACTCCCTATCTCAGGGGGAACCTCTTTTTCCCCTATCTCCTTGGCTTTCTGTCTGCTGCTAGTTCCGGTTCCCCAGCATCCTGCTGTGATCTCCAGAATCCTCTTAAACCCAAATACATTTCTCTCATCAGCATGTGTTTCCCATTACTATCTCTCCCCTTGAAAAGCAAAGCCTTTTCATGAACTCTCCTCCCAGGAAACAGGAAAGGAGTGGAAAAGACCCAGGCACTGGGCTCTCAGCCCCTCCCATTTTCTTCGTCCTTTTTTTCCGCCTTTTTTAGGAAAGGCAGGCAGAGGTGATTCTCTTTTTAAAGGAATTAACCGTGCTCCTAAGAACACCCAGGAATCCTGCCTCTTCAAGGCCCTCATCCCTGGGGCATTTCTGGCTACCCGCACCAGGTCTTGGGGCCCCAGCCACAGGACACCTTACCTCCTTCGATCTTCTCTGCAGCTGGCTTTCTGGAATGGGCCCTCTGGCTCACATTACCTCCCCTAGATCTTAACTCAGAGCCCCCGGGGTTACCAGACAACCAGGTACCGCCCTCCACTCCTAGGGAATGCTTTGATTGACAGCTTAGGTGCCCTATCTCAGTGCTGAACCCTGCTGGTGCTTGGACACAGATACCTGGATTCCATTGCCCTTCCTGCCCTGCTACTCCCCACCCCTGCAGACACACCCCTCAAGTCCCTCACTTAAAGAAAAGAATCAAAGCATCATGGGCTTGTTACTAGTTACAACCTCAAAGATCATCTATCGCATACCCTCATTTCACAGAAGAAGGGACCAGGCTCAGAGAGCAGGTGTGACTAGCCTGAGGTCACAGAGCAGTCCTGTAGCTGGCATTAGACCCCAGGTTTTCTGATTCTGGGCTGACAAGCCTAGATTCCCTTCCACTACACTGATTGCAAGCTTTAATGAGGCTTGGGCTGTCCCAGAAGTGAACCCTTTCACTCATACCTACACGAACACACACACACTCTTATGCACTGTGCTTCTGTGTGGCAGTTTCTCATTTGGGAACAGGGTGAAATGCTGATGATCATGAAAGCCTTGGAGATCAGAAGAGCCTCCCTGGCCCCTGACTCCTCTTCTCAGTTCCACTGATCTGCAGCCTCCGAGTTCTGCTTAATGAGAGGACAGCGGGCCCCAGGACAATGGGCACCTACTGCCCTCACTCTCCAAGGGTGGCCTGCATCAGACAGCAAATGTCCTCATTTATCTGGTGAAAGCTCTCTTCTAAGTAAAGGCCTTTGCCAGAAACAAAATTATAAGGAAGTAGATGCGCTCACCTGCATTTGCCGGGCAGCCTTTGCTGAGTGCCTGCTGTGTGCGGGCACGGTGCTGTGTGCCACAGACGGTGCCCACGCCCAAGGCAGGCTCTCCCAGCTATCTGTAGCTTCTGTCCACAGGCTGGGCCTTCAGGATGCTACCACAGCCTGGCAAGGGCCAAACAGGCAGTACAATCTATCGCTCATTCAGCAGGCTTTCCTTAAGAGGAGGAGAGGATGATTTGGGGAGGGGACGGGGACTGCAACTGCTCTCATTAAGGTTCCAATGACCTCTCAATGATCTAGTGATGATTTCTGAATCATTTTCTTGTTTGATTCCCACTGTATCTGACATATCCCTGCAACTCTCTCCTCACTCAGCTTCCATGACCCACTGTGTCCTGGCTCTTTCTTCTGCTCTGACAACTCCTCTCTGTCTCCTTTGCTGGGCCCTCTGTCTACTAAACGCTAGTGTTCCCCAACACTCTGCCCTTTGCTTTCTTCTCTTTTTACTTTGCATACTCTTCCACAAACATTTCACTCCTCTGATTTTGTTTTCTCTCATGTGGGTCCACTCCTTTGATTTTAACACCGCCGATAAGCCAATAACTTCTAAATGTATACTTCTAGACTTGGCTTGTCCAAGCAAAATTCCTGTTTCCTCAAATCTACCCATCCTATGCTCCCAGTGTTAGCTGGTAAACCACCAACCCAGTCTCTAAGCTAGAAACCTGGGAGACACCCATGACTCCCCTCTCTCTTCCAGCTCTCTGTCCTGTTGGTTCTACCTCTGAAACCTCTATCCAGTGTATGCTCCCTTTTGCAGCCTCATGGCCATGGCCTTGGATGTGGTATAGTATATAGTGGTTAAGAATTCAAGCTTGGAGTTGGCCTATCTGAGTTTGAATTTTGGCTCTACCAGTTTTTACTGGTGTGACAGTTCTAAGCCTCAGATTCCTCATTTGTATTGTGAGGATTAAATAAGATGGTCCTTGTAAGATGACACTAAATATAGTACTGGCATATAGTAAGCACTCAGTGCATATTGTTTCAAGCCCCTATTCCACTGGGAAGGAGGAAACAATGTGAGTCCATTTAGTTTGTCTCCTCTTTTCTGCCAGGGTGGAGTCCAAGTTGGGGGAGGTATCGGGTGCTAAGACTTGAGAGAGAAGCCTATCTGGTCCATTTGCTATCCACTGACACCACCTTTCTTCTCATCTACCTGGCCCTTTCAGGTCCAGGGACACTCGTCTCAAGCAGAAGAGGGGGTAACTCATCCAGATACTTCCTTTCTGGTTGGATTGGGCAATTTCTGCACAACTGTCTAAGGGCATACTACCTAGCTCATTATGCAGCTGTTCCTTCTCAGGGTCCTGTGCTTCCAGGGTCCTTCCCAGGAAGCCGGGAGTGGGACTTCTATCACCAGGAGCCACCAACATCTAGATTCTCTCTACTTCCCCCCGGGTGGGGGACAAAAGGGAATCTCTTCTGATTTCAGGTAACACTCACTCTCTTCAAACCCACGTCTCCCAGTTTTATCTCAGCCCTGAGGCACCTCTGTTCCTCTGAAGGTTTGTATATTTTCTGTTTTCTGCCCCTTCACATCTCTCCTCTGAGGCTATGAGCCTAGGCTGCCTAGCTGCTTGAATGGGGCGTTGGGGGGAAGGGCAAAAGGAGAAATACCCGATGGGGGAAGCCTATTAGGTAATATACCCAAAAATATTTTTTCAGCATCGTGGTTGTTATAATTATTTTTATTAGTTCAGACCCTTATTATCTCTCACCTGTGTTACTGCAGTAAACTCCCAATTGGTCTCTGTCCCTAGCCTCACCCCACTCCAAGCCTCTGTTGCAAAAGAAATCTTTCTAAAATATAAATCTGGCTCTGACCTATGTCTAAAGTGTTCTTTGGCTCATGACTGCTCCCCAGACCACAGCCCAGCACCGTAGCATGGTGCCCAAGGCCCTGCAGGATCTGGCCCTGTGCCACTCCAGGCTTACTTCCTGCCTCTCCCTGGTTGAGCTTTGTTCTCCTATAAAACTGAACCGATTTTAATTTCCTGAACTCATCTCCTTGCTTTTGCTCATGCTGTTTCCACAGACTGAAATTCCTTTCTCCTCCAATCTGATTAATTCTTTTTAACTTTTCAACCCCAATCAGCTGTCACCTCCCCTAGGAAGTCTTCCTGTCCTTCACTGCTCTTAATTACAGCAATTACCTCCTCCCTCTGTGAATCATTGACCGTTGATTTACTTGACTATGTTTATCACTCTTTCCAGAACAGCAGGCTTCTTTAGGGCATTAACTCTGCTTATTTATTCCTACATCCTCACCACCTAGTTTAGTGCATAGCACCAAGTAGGCCCCCCAGTTAGCGGGACCCAAGAATACCATACGAAGCGGAGCGTGGATATTGAAATAATAGACGCAAGGGCAGGGGTAGGCTCTACTTGAAATAAGACGGTTTAGCAGCAAAGGAGCCCTGGAGGAACAGCAACCCAATGTACCGTCGGTTGGGCAGCGCCCCTTCCCTCCTCGGGTGGTACCTTTTTCCTCCCCACCTGCCGGCGAGTCTCTGCAGCCTGGAACTACAAATCCCAGTTCCCCTTGCGGCACAGACCGGAAGTGTCTGTCCAACTGTGGCTACGGTGAGGGGCGGTGGCCCAGCGGCGGGAGATTCAAACCTGGAAGAAGGAGGAACATGGAGGGAAGAGGAGCGGGCCGGGGCCGGGCGATATGTGAGTGCCAGAACAGGCCGAGGAGGGTCCAGAAGTGGTGCCCTGGTCGAGGACTCGACAGTCCAGAGAGGGATTGGGGCGGGGGCTGGGCGCGGGGTCTGCCAGGCAAGGGCGGCGGGACTGTGCTCAGTGGGGAGGGAGCATTCCGGACTCCTGCGGGACCGGAGGAAAGCTGTGAGCTGCGAAACGCACAGCAACCCCCCCCCCCCCCCCCCCCGCGACTTCTGTGCTGAGCTTCAAAGCTTACAAAGAGTTTTCTCCCTTATTCCCGAATTCTAAGGCTCTGGAGCTGGGAGAACGTAGGTAGTCTGGATGGCCTCTTACAATTCAGCAGTTAGGACGGCTACCCATACTTGTCAAGCGCTGCCAGGGGACAGGACGCCTAAAGAGATGGGGAGGGGGGCTCCTTCACTTTTTGATACCTCTTTGAGACAGTGATTCTCAAATTTTAGTGTGTGGGAATTACCTAGGGAGCTTGTTTAAAATGCACGTTCCTGAGCTTTAGCTCCAGTAGGTCCGGATGGGGGTTTATAACAAGCGCTGCCGTGCTTCTTCGTCACCCCAGGTAATTGTGATGCAGGTAGTCCTTGAAGCACACTTTCAAAAACCCTGCTTTATAAAGAGAGACTGGGGTCCACGAGGATGGGAAGGCAGAAAGGTTTCCATCTGACCTTCACAATGAAAGGCAGAATCTGCTCCTTCTTCCACCCTCTTCCCTTCCTCTCCATTAGGATTCAAAAAGCAAAGTCCGCGTTTACTGATCTGTTGAAGGAAAGCTAGTTCCAGACCTGAGAAGAGAGACTGATTTTTTTTTTTTTTAAGACTCTGTGTGTGTATGAACAAAGTCCCGCCCTTCTCTCACAGTCTTCAATTCATAACTCTGAGGTGATGTCATTCACTTACTGGCTTATTTTCCAAGCTTAGCAACCAACACTTATTCCTTGTACACCCCCTCGGAGGAACTGATGGATTTCCTGCAATTGGCCAGTGCTTTCAAATCTGAACATGGAGCGGGGTGTGTGTGTGCATGTGCGCTTTAACTTGCTTAACTGCCAGTTCAAAGAAGCCCTTCCGCTCCCCCAAATCCTATTGCAGGGTATGCAATATAAGGAAATAAGATAAAGAATGGGAATGCTGTTAAGTGCTGAATCAAAGACAGATTG